AATATTGCTGCAATTTTAATTTTGTGATGGTATAGTTGTTCAGTACAGAGAAGAAGTTATTGAAGCATAGTGATATAGGGACCAGAAAACCTCTAAAAAGGTGATTTGAAAAGTCTTGATATCTTTGATTTGTTTTGTTATTCTTCCCGTTTAATTTGATCAATAGTTTTTAAATTTAATTTATTTATTATCTGTTTTTGATGTACAAATATAAAAGAATGGGAATAACATCTCGAACGTCAGATGTTAGGGTCAATGACTTCAACTTTCAATGTTAGAAATATGACAAAAGAGTATAAGGGATTTGGTTGGTTCTTCTGATAAATTAAGAATTTGATTTAATTATGAGGTTCGGTTTGTGACAGTGAGTGATTGTTGTTTGTGATTGATTCTAGGTTATTAGTTGGTTGAGTTATTAATAAAGATCATCATCATCGTGGAGATTATTATTGGTATAGGTGATCGTGATTGGCAAACAATTGCTATGTATGTTGTTCCTTGAGTTTTGTCTTCGTTTCTTCTTTTATGGATCATAATTTCACTATGCGCCTTGGTTCTTGTCGTCTCTATTTGTGATTTTTTTTCGTTTATGGATCAAAATTTCACTCTTTGTTACCAGAATGATTCCGCGTGGTAAAGATGGAGATCAATCCACAATGTCTTCGCCTATGGTTTATAATACGGTTCAGTCTTCTGGGAACGTCTTTGTAACATTCTTTGGTTTGTACATCTCTTTCTTCCCTGTTGATCTCTTTCTTTCTTGATCGTTCTTTGTGTAAACCTAATATTTGATGGTAATTTTGGGTTCTTTCAGTACGAGATATAGGTTCAAAGGAAGTTTGGCTCCTCATCTATTGTGCCTTCTTAGAAACGAGAAGTGTTTGGGAAGATTTGGTTTATGATATTGTTTTGTATAATTCAGCTATATTATTCTTGTGGGTTTATGCAAGTACTTTATTCTTGATCGGTTCTATGAAAATTGTTTATGGTTTTGGGTCTCTAAATTCTATGAAAGTTTCTTCCTTTGTGATCAATATGAGACATGATTAGTCATTATCATCGTGCAGAGGATCTAGGCATCGATAACATCAAGTACACATCAACCGTTGGTGAGGTTTGTCTGAAATTTGAGAGCATTTTTAGGAAACCATATGGTTTCTACATGAGCTTGAAAGAGAAGTGTGTTTTGATCTCATTTTCCTATCACTTCCATTTTGTTTCTTTGAGATACTAAAGTAAATGTATGTTCTTAGGGATGAGATTCCTAGAATGTTTAGAGAGGGATTCAAGTTATCATTGTTATTGATGGTGTGGGCGGATTCTCATTCTGGGAAGATCTATCTTGCAAGGTAATAAATGGTTCCTTGAGTTAACACTTGAGATATAAATTTATTTTATGTCGAATTTATCATCAGCTTGAACGGTTGTAATTTTTTTCATAATTCCAGTTGGGAAACTTTCTCTTTACACTGCTTTGGAAGGAATCCGTCCATCGGTTCTTAGCGCCAGAGCAAAAGCTGGAACCTTTATTGTTGAGCTAATTGTTCTTAAATTTTAAAAGATATTAGTAAATATGAGAAATTTTAAGAGCAATTGTCCAAAGATCTCGATGTTATGGACCTTATGGTAATAGTTTCTGTTTTTATTTAAGTTTAGTATTGTGATTGTCTCGTAATTCTTGGTTCGCTTTGTGTTTGGGCCTAGTAGAGAGTTTATGGTCCACCAAGATATGAGGTTGCTTGTGGTATTTATCTTGGTTTAACTAAACGATGTCAAATATTATTTTATACTGATACATGGTTGTCTTTTGGAATTCTTTTTAGATGTGTGTAGTTGTCAACTACATGACTTGGCTATGAACACTTGAATTTTAAGTCAAGTTTTTTTTTGTAATTTCTGAACGAATTATCGTTCCTTATCCCTCTCACACAAAGTTTCTTCGCAATCGCTATCCTGACCGGTTTATACAAATATCTTTGGACAGATGATTTGTAGGCATTATTTCACTGTTTAATTTTTGTTTCAAATTTTTTTTTTCTAAGAAAAAGAGGACGTGGTAAAAGAAAAC